TTCTGGATCTTTCTCCACACTGGGGACAGGAGGAGTCTCCTGATGAAGCAGACTGGTCCCAGTATGAGCAGATGCACTGTCTGCAGAACCAGAAACATATCCAAAGTGAGCAGGTTCCCCTCCAGCACAAACTCTAGACTTTAAATGTTATTTTCGGAAACTTATTCTCAAAGGACAACATGACACATTATTTACATTATTATTTATGTTTTATATGTTTTTTGCAACTATTATTAGTATTTAAATGAGTCATATCCATGATGCAGATAAATGAAAAACAATTAAACAAAAATATTTCAGGTGATTATTCACTGCAGTGTTCTCCACCTCTAAGATAAAAATATGTGAAACATTGCTGAGAGTATCTGCTGTGACGTCTTTGTGCAGCAACTATAAACATTTCTGTAACTTATTTATCTCTGACATCCTTTGGAAGAACGACGAGCAAATACTTGAAAGAATCAAATACAGAGTACAGTTGCAATCAGTGTAACAGCAAATACACCCCACTTTTCAGTTATTTGTTTGTAAATAATGGTTGGAATCATGTATGATTTTCGTTCCACTTCTCACATGTGCACCACTTTGTGTTGGTCTTTCACGTGGAATTCCAATAAAATAGATTCATGTTTGTGGCTGTAATGTGACAAAATGTGGAAAAGTTCAAGGGGGCCGAATACTTTTGCAAGCCACTGTATGTGGACACCCAAGAAATCACATCGGTGCCAACATGCTACAAAAACCTCTCACTCCCTCTGTGCAACACCGTGATCTCTCTCATTCCTGGCTGTGCATTCAGTTCGTGTATTTAGTTCTGAGTTTTGCACAATTTAGTTTGGTATTAATTCAATCCAGCAGTAAAACTGTTTTTGAGTTAAGTCCTGCCTATGAGTCTGTGTTTTGGGTCCAATCTCCTTCCCTCTTCAAACATGACAGAAGATCATAACCAGAAATTAAAATTTTTAACATGTTCAGCTACATTCCAACTTTAAAACCTCTTCTTCTGTCTGAACTTCAGCTTTCAACAGTTCTGCACTTTGGCTTTCAGATGAATGATTTGGGGTATTTCAGCTCAGTCAGCTTTTTTTCATTTAAGATTAAGAAATAATTCCATTTCAGCTCCAAAAATTCAGCTATTTTTCACCCACATTTGTGACTTAAAATAGAAAGTATGATGGCGTGAATTCCACACAGCCCGGGGCTGTACACAAGAACTGATAACAACGCAGCATCGATAATTCTGTCATAGTTTAATGTGGAATCTTTCTACATTCAAATGGTGAAGAGCAAAGAGAAGAACATGTGTTTCTAGCATCAAAACAGCAGCAGCTGTTCCTGTCATCACTTTTAAAATCTTTACTGGGAAAAAGCTTCATCAAATCACCTGATCAACAAACTCAAGTGAGAAGAAAATAACTTTATAGCTGCTTCATCCACTGCTATTAAATTACACTAATATTAAGCTCTTCAGGGAGTTTTTAGGAC